CATTGCAACGCTTTGAACTGGAGAAGAACTGTTTTTCCACCGCCAGAAGAACCGTTGAAGAACATGTGACGGTCACCGTTCCAGATTCGTAGCTGATCAGGGTTTAGGAACAGAAATTGCTTGGCTAGAATTGCTTGCTCTGCGTCGTTAGCTGTTTTAAAGACCACTTCGGATCCATCGCCTGAGCTCTTGGTTTCTTTCTTGAAGCTCTTGGTGAGGAAACGTTGTGTATCAATCTTTTTATAAACATTTAAGAGCACGGTGGAATTRACTTCAGATCTCTGACCAATAAATATGCAAATAAGACTTTGTAGTTTGAGCTGTTCTTGAGCATCAAATTCCCTCTCGGCAAACTTTGAAGTCCACCAGGTACGAAAATTCTCTCCAGAGCATACATTAGTCTTTCTAAGGCCGATGTACTTTGCACCATCGGGACACGGGTCACCAACATTTGGCATGGCAATTACTTTGTGTATAGGTATTCCAATGTCTTGTTCGTCATCAGCTGGTAACAGAGCTTTGATAACGTTTTCGCCGTTTTGGAGCTGTTTTCGTGCTTCACTTTGCAGACCTTTTCTAAACTCACTGTTCCCCTTCACCTCGATAAGAATGATACCTATTCTCTTGTGGATGATCATAAAGTCAATTTCTTTCTGAAGGTTGTTGCTGAAGACGGGGTGATCGGAAGGTAACCTCTGTTTGAGRACACTTTTGCTAAATTCTGATAATTTCAGCTGACTTATGACGAACATTGGCTGTCTTGTCTCCTCTCCAAACTTTTCAAGAAGGTGGAAAATCTTGAGTTCCGCAGTGTCTCCTCGAATGGTGTCTTCTTCTACTTTGGTGAGRGGTTTGGCTCCAGAAGCTTGACCAGTAGGGGCGATGTATCCAAATGAAAACACGGATGGACACATGACCGTTCCATGGGATGTTGAATTTACGCATTGAGGAAAATTCCTATTGAAGTGATCTTCACAAGCTTTAACGAGGTCAGTGAGATACTGGCCTGCAGCTCCTTTTGCCACAACAGCACGTGGGTCCATATCTACAATCTGGTGATAAATGTAGGATGCCTTTAGGAGGATCATGTTGACCTCTGGGATGTTTAATCTAAGGGAGGGGAGGGAAGGATATAATCTAAGGGAGGGGAGGGAAGGATAATCTAAGGGAGGGGAGGGAAGGAATAAAGGAAAAGGAGGAGCCTCCGCGCGGGCTATATATAAACTAACCAACTTTTGCTTTATACTTTTTCAATAATTCCTTGAATTTTAAAAACTCGCACTCTTGTTTGATTATCATATAAAGTAACTTCAAAACAATAGTGTGGCGATGGTGGAGATCGTGACATATCGCGCCACTTTTGAAAGTTGTGAATTCTTCTCAGCATTTTGATACACTGGCGACAAGGTACTTTTCTTCAGGTTTCTAAATTGATTTAAAATTTCTAAATTGATTTAAAATCTTTGCTCCGAATATATGGAGTCACCATCTTGCATGACTGCTTGGACGGACATGAATAGTTATACATAACCTTTAATGTTTTTATACTCCTTTCTTTGAATAGTGTGATGACCTCTTTAGTATGATAAGCTCGGTTTGGGTTAAAAAAAGGTCTTAGATTCTTCATTTAGCATTCTGTTGACTAAAATCGTCATGATTGCGTGACAAGCATTTACAGTTGTTTTCATAAAACCGTTAAACAAAATGGAATAGCAGAATAGTCAAATAAATTGTCAAATAAATTGTAATTCAGCGTACACAATAATGAGTATAAAAGTGGAGTTACAAATAAGAAGTGTATTTCACGGGTTATAAAACTACTATACTCTCAGCGAAGGTATCAGACAAGTTTCCAATAATTCCGRCATGGATGGCGTTCATAGAAACTGCTTGAAATAATGATCTTACCTTCTCACGTCTTCGGTGACACGGAGACAATGAACAATGACAATGAAAGTTCGCTTTCTTCCACAAAAGGAAAATTTCAAATCATACACTTCTTTTTTGTGTGTGTGTGTTTGAAAACAAGAATTGCAGTGTCATCGCAAACGAAAATGAAAGTAAAAGTTGATTTATATTTCGCGGAATTTCCCTTATCATTTCCGGAATTAATTCAGAACATGCATATTTTCACCCACTCAAGACATCTCATCGGGGAAAAACCCTTATTATAACAAATTTGGATTGAATTATGCATTAACTACGCAATAGGAAATTCAAATGAGATTTTTTTCTTTTCATAGTTTTTGGAGCAACTTGGCATTCTTTCACAGAAAGGTAAGATGTCAAATTGACCTCATCCATCCTCAGGAACCCAGGGCTATTATATATCTTTCAGGAAGAGTAACGCTGGGTTTCTGAGGATGGGGTCCGCTCAAACTGTTCCAAGAGGACCTTTTGGGAACGCGCGCGCGTTATTTAGATCTACGTGCGTCCATTAGGCATTACGACTACCATCTTATTCAAAATACGTATATATATTTCTACAGTACATCACTCTTCACATTACGGGGTCTTTTCTATTTTACGGACACCTGTATCTAGTATGGTCTCTATCAACCAAACGTCGTTATATTACGGACAATTMTATTAAGATCTTATCCTTATTACTGGCCAAGGGCGGATCCAAGGAGGGTTGGCGGTTGGGCTGGTGCTCTTCCCTCTCTCCTTTGGAAAAGTCCTGATTTATTTGTATGTTTTTCAGTAAATATCATATCATAATTTCTTTCATGATAAAACTAATCAAATACATTTTAATTGTATCTATTATATTTTTTTCATAACATTTATGAAATAACGTAAGCAATGACTTCAAAATTTCTGGATCCGCCACATCGGACATCCACATCATTGCGAACACATTCTGACGTAATCTGTTCCACGTTGCGGTCTTTTTCATTTGCACCCCTCCATCTTACGAACCCTTACATTTTACTAAACCATAATGCGTCAATTCTATCTGCCCTTTATCATCGTCCTATGAATCTAATACGGATTTCATTTATTCACAATCGTGCACGCCAGGTGCCGACATCACCACAAGAACGCTGGATTCCAAATGCCAAAGTTAACATATCAAGACGAGACCTCACTTGTGGTGGAGTGAAAGACTTCAATTCTCTTTCTGTTCAAATTCAGAATGAATTAAACAGATTTACTCAATTAAGACAATTCAGTGTATTTGAATATTATTGTTGAATCTATTATGATATGAATTTTTATATATCTCTATACCCATTTACTTGCATCTTTATTTTGTATTATTTATTTTTATTTTATCTTTATATTCATTCATTCATTCATTTATTTATTTATTTTGCATCATAATCTTCATCATTTATAGTTTATATTATACTATTTATTGAACTTATCGTGTTATTGATGATCAAGCAGTATAGATTAGTTCATGACTAAACTGGCTACCATTTATTACAATTATCCGTCCGTCAAGGCTATTTTTAACCTAACCTTTTCTCTCRTTATTCCTGAAGTGTAGTGGTTAGGATCACAACACCTTTAGACGACCAAAAATATGAATTTTTAACGAGCAAATTTGATAAAAACCTTCATGAGCTGAGCTTTTCAGCCATCTGACAAACCCGCGCAGTTAATGAGTGTCATACTTGAAAGTCTTCCAACGCAATTTCATTCATTTATATATGTCTAGAGCGGTAGATAGGCAGTCGTTGTCGAAAGTAGMATTTATTTACATTGACACTCAATCATTACTTTGGCGAGTTTCGATGAGAATGCTTAAAGAAGAGTTTCGAGAGACATTTCTATTCAAAAGAATGCCAAAAGGAAAAGAATGCGAGCGAACCAGGAGACCTGTGCCRCGAAAAAGGCACTCATTCCGTAAGTCAAATTCCTTGCGTTCACATTTCAATTTTCATGCGTCCAGCGATGCATCAGAACAAACGTAACGTATTCTTTATCATTTTGYATTTGTTCTTTTGAAATATTTGAGGTATTATCATATCGTTTTAGTTGCTTTGAGGAAAGATGGTTTGTGTAGACGGCGTCCCGAAAGTCCAAGGCCGCTGGAGGTAGGAGTTTACATTAAATTATATTAAATCAATGCACAATTCTCTTTTACGACTGACTATATCTCATTTTAATAGTAATATAAACRACAAGGGTATGGACATTTCTTTTGATAACAATCCCTTGAGTTTATTTTCATCGCTTCGTAACTTGAACACAATTAAGGCGAATGTGACTCAGTCCGGCATTATTTGTTATGTGATATTCAAAATGACTACCGGCTATATTTGCTATAGCCGTTCCTCTATATTTGGATAATAAATTATTAAAACGTTACAGTAATTCAATTCTATTGTCATTGTACAAAAACCTAAATTAAAAAAGTCACTCTTGTATTTACATTCTAGAATCTTTATGTATTTAAAGTTGCCAAAACAGCGATTGTGTCGTTTACGCTTGCAAATTTATGCGCGGCGACACTTTTTTCCCCCCGAAAACGACGTACAAAAACACTGCATTCTCATTATCGAGTTTTGGTTATTTTTAATATAATCATTTAGAAACTATTTAATTTTTTTTTAAAAAAAGAAAATATCTTAACGAAACATATAAATCAATTCCGAATTGAGGGACATTTCAACGTCGTAATGTACATATTTATAACAACTCTTGACTCAAGAGGACATTTTAACCTCCCAAAGAAAGCTCAAGAGTTCCTCGTCAAAAGTAGCTCTTAGTTTACTATATATATATCGCCTTCCTTGTAGGATGGAGACAGACATTGGTATAAGTCGGCTATGGATGGCGACATCAGCGAAATAAAATATTTACTGGAACGCGATCCAGATATGGTTGATAAAAAGGTATTTCAAGTGAGGACAACTTTMATGTTGCTATGGTTTTGTTGTCATAGAGACGTTTTWTGGTGTAATTTGCGTGATACTCACCTACCAAGTTAATGGTGTGTTCATTTTAATTTGTTACTATYTAAAAAGTTAATTTTTGTTTATTTTCTTTTATGAAAAACGTTGATGAAATGCAGGATTCAATTATGGTAAGCCACAAGTTTACAATAAGTCGGAAATGTTTTTTTTCTGAATCATATACTAAATTTGCATGTTTTTTTTTTCTTTTCAAAACCAATGACCAAAAAATAATAGGGGGTAAGTATGAAATATTTATGATAGATATCTGTTTAGTTACACTCAGCATCAAAATGACTATAAGTATGGAAAAGACTGATTTGGAAACCCTAACTATGTAACAAGYAATCTGTAGGGGGTATAACGGTTACGCGGTTTTGCCTTTTTAACGCGGTTTTGACCGATGTTTTGCTGCGCGGTTTTTGCGGGATTTTTTGCCAAAAATGCCSGTTTCATACGACGCAATTAAGCGTTTTATGCGGTTTCTCAAATTTTATTGGCGCTGTTACCTTACGCCCCTTCTAATTAACCCTTCCTCTATTTCTCCACATGTATTGATCATTTTGTCTATCTAACGTGGCTATAGTTTGTAAGTATATATTTTAATTGTTTTTGTTATAATGTCATTCTTAATTTAGGTGTAAAATTAAGCGATTTGTTTTCGATAGACAGCWTTACATTGGGCTGCCAAGAAAGGATATATAGAAATGACAGAACTTCTTGCTGGTACAGGAATGGATGTTAACATTAAAACGGTAAGAACTTTMAAGCATATTTGGATTGAGAAACAACTTGGGTTGTTTGTCAAGTGGCAATCCATACATGCACTGCATGTAAGACACTAATGGATCGTTTATTTTTTATTGGGAGAGGGGGCTGTTTTTTATTATTTTTTTTCTTGGGGAGGGGGCTGTTTTTGATCTTATAGTTGGATTATCTATGTACTTTTTTCTTTTGTTACATGTGGCGATTTTACATCTTGGTCAATGAAATGATAGCGGGTAAGTAATTCTTACCATGCCATAATATTTTATAAATTCATTTAACTTACCACACTGTCTTGATATTTTATGTCTTCTGCCATTTGCTGCACGATGGACATTGGAGACAGGGGGTGAGTATGATGACTTACTACAAATTCCATGAAGATCCTTATTATGATGTTTCCTTCCTCTGGATCTTCAACCCCTCCCCACTCCTTTCCCCCTGTTCCCTCCCCTTTAGGGACGAGTAGTCACGAGTACTGTTTTGAAAGTTCTTCGTAACTGCACGAGCCCAATAGGGAGTTGATCTTTGCAAGTGCTGGTTTTAGTCCCATAGGAATTATGGGAGCTTGGTACAATAGTATGTTTAGGCATATTAGGTATGCACTTTTATGTGCTTATAATAGTGTGACTCATATCTTCCTCAGGGATATACAGCATTACATTTTGCAGTGATACATTACCACGAAGCAATAATTTCTATACTTGTGGATGATTATGGTAAGAGAATATAGTAAGAGATTTTGTCATGGGAATTATTGAAGGCAAACCCTACAAATAGTCAGTTTCCACTTCATCTTACTCTTTGTTTTAAGAAAGACAACACTATTTTGCAAGCAAGGTTTTGAAGAAATTGAAATGATTAATTATCAACCTTTATTACAATAGGAGCAAACATTAACATTAGGGATAATAGTGGAAGGAAGCCAAAGCATTACCTCAAAGACAACACATCACCATGGATACAGCGTATGTAAAATAAATACTGTTATACAAGCAATCGCATCACTTCCTTTGTTTGCCCTCCTGAGGCCTTATTTTCCTTCCAAGGAAGCATATACATTTCCCAATGAAGCATGTCCAGGCATTTTCAAAATTACCTATTTATTTTCTAGGAAAACTTGGGAAATCTGTAAAATTGTCAGGTAATATGGCTATGGTGGATGTAGCCCAACAGAGAATGTGTGTGGTGACTCCATGAAGGGGAAGTCATTTTCAAAGTCAAGTGATTTTCCATGTCTATGATGACTTCCAAGATGACATCTGCCCAAGGTGTCAAACTGTCACTCACGTCAAACAGTTCTTCTTGGAACTACATGATTGTATCAGTCCACCCAGATCATCACATTACAAATTTTGTGCTACTATCTACATTAAGCGGTCATCTTGCCCCATCACCATCTTTCACCCAATCAACCACTGCCATGCAATCTCACCCACTATTTTTCAGAAGTCCTCCGAGACCTGTTTGGGACTTTTGGTCATGCTGCTGCTTTTCTCTTCCCACAACACCATCGTGATTTGCAGCTCTGCCATTTAGTCCAGTTTTGCCTTTAACTGCTAGATATCACTATCTAATACATATAATGATAAAAATTCATGCATTTTCAAGACCTTTCTTTGAAAAATGATGGTAACAATACTGAGACAATACTTTAACCATCCTGATATGAATGATCTATCACCAGTCTCATTCAGCAAAAATGGTGCTCTGGCAAAGGGTCTCGGTACATTTGGTAATCTACTTGTCCCTGCAAGTCCCCTGAGTTCATCCTTGGAGACAGGGCTCAATGACATTGGAATAGATGATGACAATGGTGAACAAAATGCAAGTAATACGCAACGACGGGTGAGCAAATCCTTCTTTGATTCAACTGCACAGTGAAATTTCACTCACATTTTTAGTTCCCCAGCAAGTCTTTTCAGTTTATGAATAAATCAAATTGATGAATTCACTCATGAATAACACTATGTTTGACAAATTCAGGGATCATTTGTCAAGTTTTGCCAAARTCTTAGAGGAAAAACAAAAAGAGGAAGTACTCCTTCTCTCGAACTTCTATCGGAAGATGCTGCACTCAAGTGAGAACCAATGAACAGCAGTTTCTATTTTAATGTATTCTGCAGTTTCTATTTTACTGTATTTATCCAGAATAGTCTCTTTCATCYCTGTCATCTTGAAGGGTAGCCACGTCTTTCCAAGGAAGTGAGACATCTCTTGAGTTTGCAATGATAGGAAACAGAAAAACATCTTTTATGCCCAAAGACAATTATTCACAGGTCTATCATTCCGTGCTCAAGGGTTATTACACTATGATGAAAAGGCACAGCTACCTTTCAAGATGTTACAGSGAACTATGAAGGAGACTATTTCCTTAAAGAGAACAATGAGGAAATTCTGGAAACACATAGGCTTATACATTTGTGGAGAGTGGATTCTGTAGGACTGTTTTGATGTTGTAACAGTGAAGTATTTGTGAATCAGTATGTTCATTTGATGTCACTTCCAGGCATTTTCCATGATCATGCTGTTGTCATGTTAGTGCTGTGATCCRTGCCTTACAACAGTCATCTGATATCCACTCTAAACATAGATGTGCAAACCATATCATGAATTGAGTACTTATATCAGTTTGTTCTCATAGGTATCATCGGACTCATGGACGGGCCAAATCAGCCCCAAACTTAGATATGTTTACACTTAGAACTCCAATGAGATCCTTGCAAGCACATCCACCTTGACATTATGGCAAACATTTAGATCACATTTGATACATTTATTAAATGTTTTATTATAATATGAAAGAACAAGTTTATACCAATGCTACAAAATACAATCATAATTTTTTACAGAATAAATTAGATATTGAAATCACCACCTGCGTAATTTAATCACATATAGGTACAATCTAWTCCAAGTCGTTAGTGATGTAATAACGATCATTTTTCTATTGGATTTTTGCTAATCACCTTGGTTATTGAAAAATAATTGCTGAAATAATTTAAAAAAATCACTGTTTTCTTATACTACATGTACAGTGCTGAAAAATAGAAAAATATATCCTTCTAAGCCATGAAGTGACACAAGTATCAATAGGTGTACCCTTGTACACATACTTAATGCCCCAATGAAAGTGCTAATACTCTCCMGTAGTAAATGTTGCTATGCAACCACTTTCTCAAGTTATCTTGTTACATAGCAATCACTTGCTGCTAAGCAACCACTGGTTGCTAAGCAACCAATTTCCATGTTTATGAAATGAAAGTTTTGCAACAAATACGATTACAAGACAAATCCATTTTTAAACATTTTCCCCTTCAAATATTCTCATTTCTTGGTCGGAAGAGTATAAAACTTGTGGTGTTTATCTTTTCCAGTTCTGCTGCAGTTAGCAAATACTATATTCTGAACCGTAGAAAACTTGAAAATGTCACTTTTTGGATCATTCATCAGAACTTTATTGTATACATCAAAAAGGTCATCAAAAMAAGGAGAATTTCTATCTTAATGTACAGCCTGGCATGAAAATTTGATGGTACACGGGATGAAAGAATGTGTTGAGTATAGCATAGGAACCTGCCCAGCMAGACTTTTATGGATGATGCCAATGAATTCATAGGATTTTTTACTTGGTTGGTTTATAGTAGTTAATGATTATGTTGTTACATCAAGCTACATGCACGACTTCCTGCTGGTTGTTTCTGGTCAATYTTCAGTTGTCCACCATTTTCTGTGATGCCTTTTTGGGCTTTGAGAACCTGCAGCAAGAAAGGGAATTTGGGTTTACAGGTAGCAAGCATTATTGGAGGCTAAAAGGGAAAATACAAAAAGGAAATAGAGGAAAACTAGGAAAAGCAAGGATTGAATGTTAGCATATTCTCATAGTGGAAAGGTAGAAACAAAAGTGGACAAAAGGGAATTAGAAGGAAAAATAAGAAAAGGAAGTGGGGAACAGGAAATTGATGAGTATGGAACTTACTGTTGTCAGCATATGAATGCGATAYTTGAGTCGTCCACTTTGATAGTTTGCTGCAGCTGACATGGCCCGATGGAATGCATCAAACTGCTGCTCAGCTGGAGGCTTCTTTCCCCACTCTTCACACAAATCCTACAATGGCAACAGAAAATATAAGCCAATTGCAACATAACATATCATTGATCAGTTTTCAGTTTTTATACAGTTGGGAAAGTATTATATATTATTGTACCTGAATTCTCTTTTCTTTCTTTAACAGTCTTTCATTCTTCCTTTTCAAAAGAACAACTTCAGCCTTGAGTTGCGCAACGTCATCTCCTCCGACCATTGTCTGTGTGCGATTGCCCAATCCTGGTCCTGATTTAATATGTTCCATTTGACGTAGCTCCTAAGAAAATCATTCAAAATAATATATATTTGATGAACAAAGGTTTATCACTCAAGAATATTGTTTACATCTTGACATCACAGTGCACACACTATAATATCATTATCATCACCATCATCATCATCACTGTCAATCAAGTATTAGAGAATAAAGAACTAGTGTGCCTCCGAATCTTTCACAAATTTGTTCATGTACACTAACCTTTGTAGTCATTTTAGCCAGTTTTGGATCAGGTACCATATCCTCCTGTCTTCCATACATTAAGAAGGTGATACACCCTGAGTCAAACCAATCCAGAGTCTCTTGAGTGACTTTGGGAATTGAGAAGATCTTGCTGTGGTTGAATTCTGGTGACAGAGTGTTGACTTTGGTCTCTGTCAAGGTGTACTCCTCRTCRTTTTGYGTCTTGTACTTGACATAGATGCCTTTGCTAAATCTTGATTTATGGACTTCACCAGTGCGAAGAGTGACCTATCAAAACAAAGGACCATGTTTATTGTTTGTATTATATTATGCATAAAGACAAAAAAGATTATAATAGCCTGCATGCAGCTGAATCAAAAAATTTTTCTTAAAAAAATAATTGTAAGGGACTGTCTATTTTTAATCGGATAGATTCCTGCTGGTTTTCAGGGGGTTTTCAGAGTGGGGTCGCATCAATAAGACATGATTAAGGGGGTGGGTCATGTGAAAAAAATTGTATCCATCTAGGGAGGCTAAGCTTTTTTGACAACACCCCCCCCCCCAAATGAATGGCCCCATACAATCAATAAAAGCAAAAAATATAATTATTATATTGGTCTTGTTTTAATACAAAATTTAGAACTTTAAACATCAGAAACTTGATTTCTCACCTTAAAGTGGTAAGGTTTGTCGAGAAGTTCAGATGGATTTTCAACAAAGTTGTCTTCATCAAGTGCTTTGCCTGTCTGTGAGCAWGGTGTAACATTGACAACAAGAGAGGCTTCCTCAGATCCCTGTACAGTATACAAAATATGGTGAATTAGATGTTATTGATCAATTATTATGATTATGATTACAAWGATATCATACTTCAAGATCACACTTCTTAAGATGGCTTCAATAATAAACAKCTGGGACATCCAAGTGCACTTCTTAGGGTATGTGTAGGGGAATTTCAGGGGTTCCAGACCCCCCCTTCCTTGGCATTATTCATGAGACTTAATTTTGCCAAATCAAACTTGAAAAGCCAAATAATTTGTTTGATGTGAATCCAAAAAAATAGTTGTATAATTTCAGAASTGATCACCTTTCTCACAGTCTTAAATAAAAGGAAAGAAACCCAACCATAATACAACCCCTGCACAGGTCCCTGCTATCAGCAAAAGACAGCTCTAGCCATACAAGAAATGCTGATCTTCCAGCACCATCCAATTTGTCATATAAAGATCAAACGCTATGGTAGTATTTCATAAAGATCAACAAAGACAGGTTAACAACCTTGTAATCTGTGACAGTCAATTTGTCATCGAAGTCTAAGGCAAAAGCCAAGCTCTGCAAGAACAAGTTTGCTGTTCCAATCAAGACGTCTTCAATGTCTTCCCAGAAAGGATCCTGTTCTTTTGGTATTGTGGAAATGTCYTCACCATCAATGAACTTTTGGTACATCTCCTGTGGAAATAGAATATTTTATAATCATTATTACGCATTTAAACTGATACTTGATGCTTGACAATCTATCAAAAACTGGTGAAAATCAATGACAGCTGATTCATCATGATTTTYTTTGCACTGCACTACTGCACATCACATGTTCAATATATAAGAGACCTTAAGATTTACCTGCATTTTATTGCCTTCCATCTTTTCATAACTATGAAAATGACATCTATACATCTTAGTTAACGTACCTGTATCAAGAATCGTCTGTTCATAAATTTACCACGATCCCAAAGCCAAACATTACCATTCAACATGCTTTTCATCTTYACTGCAACTCTATAAGTYAAAGMAAATGTCCTTGGTCAGAAAAACATTTYAACAGTTCTCGTAASAGCATTTTGTGAAAATGGTTCATGCTGGTGGAAATAATACTTAAAGCAACGATAATGTATTAAATAATGGCAGCAATATTCATTAAAAGTTATTATGCTGTTAATGATATTTAATAGATATCTTACTTATTTTAAAATAGTATATTTATCTTTTTCTTTTTTGATTATTGCACATCATTGTTTGTGTATAATAATAAATCATTTCTTACCACAAGATCATTTTAAGTTTTAAAACTATTTTTTATAGTTTAAATTATTTCCTTGATAACAGATTATCATGCTTAGATAAAAATCCATGCAAAGATAACTGTACACAAAGTATTATGGATTGTTAGTGGAAAACCTACTTATAGTTTTGCATCTCATGATGTTCTCTGTAGTCAAGAGTAAATTGAAGTTGAAGAGAGTTCATTGCAAGGAGCAGCAAAAGAAGAAGACAGAGAAGAAAGAAAAAACATATTAATAGTTTTATTAGTAGGATATTACAAAGTTATTAAAAAGAAGAAGATAGCATTGTTCATATTAATTTGAAYTATATTTATTGAGTGGKCAGATTTGAAGGAGTATTGCRACATGGCAGCTGTTGGCTTCATTCACTYAAKCATGGCTAAKKTWAWTKCMRGSMRSCT